GAAAATAAACATTCAGCGGTTTTCTATTAACGCGGAACATTACCGTATGTTTGTCGCGGCGCAGGAAAATTTCCCCGCAACACGACGACTTCATTTCAATATATCCTCCCGGCACCAATTAGAAGCTTCAGTTCGATTTCTCATGGCTAGCACCGCTGCCCACACAACACACACGCATACACACACGTATGTGCGTGCGTATTAGAGTGGCAAATATAGCCTCGGGAGCATTATCGAAGAGAAATAAATAGCATCCTGCTACCGCGACTGCAGCACGAGCATCTTTGGCCTTCGTCTTCGTCATCTTCGTCGTCGTCGCCGTCGTCGTCGCCGGCGTGGTACGTCATGTACGTGAGAACGATTGAGGTGAAAACAGGACGCATCGACGAACGGCAGCTAAAGGACGGAGACAGAGCGAGAGTCGAACGGGGAACGCGGAGGCGAGCGGGGAACGCGGAGTCAAGGAACTAGAAATGAATTCCATTTGTGCGATTGAGAAGGGAAGACCGCGAAGCAGGATAGAGCGGGATAAGAATAGAGTAGGACAGCAAAAAGGGCTGGCACGGCCACGAGAAACACGGCAACCAAAGACTCCGCCTCTCGTGGAAAGCAAAAAGGGAAGAGCGGAAAAGAAATTCGTTGAAAATGAGAAAATAAACGAATAATTAAAAAATTACGAGAAAGTTATATTAATTAAAGTTTATGCTGCAAATTTGCATTCACGTTGCTCGGGGCTGGAAAAGAGAGAAGACAACACCCCGACTGCTTTGTATTGTCAATACTCGAATCTTGTTAATACTCGCGTTCCGGTACGGAGTGTTGCGCAGGTATGCAAAAGATGCCGCGGGTGCATCTGGCAACTGCATCGCGCACATTTACGCGTGCGGCGATCGCGCCAACACGCATGCAGGATATGCTGATCAGTAACCATTGACCGCTATCATCCGAGACCACTTATCGATGCAGAAGGAAGGGGGCTTGTGTAATGTTCGCTCGTAGTGCAACATCTGACATGGAATCTTAATTTCTCCCATCGTATATTTTAACATCCTCCAAACCTGTTGAATTTGTTAATGTGGAATTTTCTTTATTTCAAATTTTTGTATCTTTCTAACTCGCAGACCTCGCTGCAAGACCGCTCGTAGAAATGTTTTGGATCGCGCCATTCGTGCCGAGAACGCATAAGGACGCGAATCAGTAATGAGTACGTTATGGGTTTCTTCTTTGCCTCGGCTTCGCCGGCAAAAACTCGCTCTCGATTCGATTCACGACGTCGGAGGACGAAGGATGCGAAGAGGTGAAGAGGGTCCCAGCGTTGGACCGACGATCTCCGCGAATTAATCAAATATGCGAGTGATTTGTCTTCGTTACACCCACGTAGGCACCCCGGGGGGACGCGTGTGTAACCGGGATGACGAAGCCTTCGCAAACCGACACCGGCGGAAGAAAAACGTGACCGTGCTACATATGCACCTTGCGCGACGATTATTCTAAATAAAAATAACGCTCTGTGCGACGAAAGCAATACAGAACGGAAAATTGTTTTCACTTGTATTTCAAAACATTCATTTGTTCGTAATTTTATAAATCATTTGTTGCTCCGTGCAATTAAAATTACGTACAGTAAAGTCTTGAATAGATGAGCTTTAATTCTTTTTCAATTTATTATCATTGGAAAGATTATTCCGCATTTATTGCTGAGAATCTATTTTGCGTTACGGCAAACCGTATTTTAACGACGAGTTGTTTTTCGTTTGATTTACGATAAAAATTGAAACTGTGATACAACGCGCGCGCGCGCGCGCGCGATTTGCGTGCGTTAATTTTATTATCCCCTAAGATTTATTGCCAAATGCGTTGTCGCGTATTTTAATGGCTAACTTTCTCGCCACGGCGGCTTATGAGGAAGGGGACACAGATTTGTCCGGCGTGTCATACCCATCCGAAGTCGCGCGTCGAAATCCTTTTGCACGGGCACCAAGATACTCTCGAGCGCGGGGTATCTCGGCGTATCGGGATGCGGAGTAAATCGTAATTATATACGGGGAGTAGTACAGGATCGGCGGACCCTCCTCTCACGGCGAGAGTCCACGGAAAAAGATCACGCGGACGTTTAATAACACGGGTACCGAATGCTGATGGGTAAGAGGTATCGCCGGGGATATAAAATCTACGTCTTCCAGACCAGTCTCGCGGTATTATACCAACGCATACGCGTAATTACACGCGCATCGCGCCTATACGTTCACGCAAGGGCAGTGTTTTATCCGTCGCGTATACATTTTACGAATGAGTTGCTCCCAGCGTGTGTGCGTTGTGTGTGTGCGTGTGTGTATGCACCAAACAACCTCTCGAATACCACTGAACAAACTAAGAACTGTATCAATGTCAACGTACGGATGCTCATGGAGTTATTTAGCGTTGAGAATTAAGAAACTTTCGCACATCAAACTTCGGGACAATTTTGTTTTAATTCCCGACCAAGATGAAATGCGCACCGCGATGTATACGCCTGTGTGTGCGTGCGCGCGCGCGCGTGTGTGTGTGTGTGTGCTACGCCTTTCATACTCTTGCGTGCGTCGACGCAAAAGGGGAAATGGAGGAAAAGGACGAGTTGGATCGAGTATAAATAGCGGTCCATAAATTATGTCGTCCACGTACGCGACCGAGTACCATCTTTAAGGCACTGGTCGAACGACCGATGTCATCGATGGCAACGACATAGGCGTCATCGGCGACGACGACGACGACGACGACGACGGCGATGCAGACGTCACCGTGGAAATGGAAGTACGGCTCTTGGAGACCGTCGAGACGACAATGTTCCCGTCTACTTGCTTTTTCTACGCTGTATTGCGGGAAAAACTTGATCGCGCTCGACAGGAGACATCTACTTTGCGGTAGATCCGCGGGATTTGTCGAAATGCGTCTAGGAAGGATATATCTCGGATCTCTCCGCCGAGTAGCTACATTCCCGTTTTGGCGCGGACCACGCGCGATCGATCGGATCGATCGATCGATCGGAGCAATTATCGGCACGCGTGCTGTGCATGCTTTACCGGCGTATATGTGTACGAGATTGTCTGTAATTGGATGTGGCCTCGCGACGTGTTTTCACGACAACGCCGGCGGATAATGTAGAGAGTTTCATACCGCCGTAATGAATTGCCGTTGAACCGGATTTCAGACATCATTAATAAAACAGCTAATTGCCGATTGTGAAAAGTAAACCGAAAGGACTCTTTTCATCAATTTGATTAAGATCGTTTTTATATCGGAACGACGTGTGTTAACGATCCACCTTTGACTCGACGCTGACAAACTAATGATTTAAAGCTCTTTCAGAAATCAGCCGTCCAATTACGCACCGTCCATTCATCAAGCGAATCAGGGACACATCGGCGCGTTTTAGATCCGAAGGAAAAAGTCATCGCGACGCGTCGTAACTGCAACACTCCGCGATCCGGATTTCGATTTCGATTTTCCCGCAACGTAGAAGTCTTACGGTTCTTGGCGTGCCGGGCGTGGGCGTGCAGACGGCCAACGGCACTCGTTATGCGAGAAACAGACGGCGGGCCGGCGCGCACGAATCGTTCATCACGGAATTGCATCTGCCAGCGGTAATGACCGGCCAATTTGGCTATTAATTGATTCCGAAGCAGCGGGACCGGGCGGCTCCGGTCGACTCGTGCGAGGAGGTCGAGCGAGGTCGATGTCGTGGAATCGATAAACCGCCATCATTCATTCGTCGATGCCTCTCTCTCTCTCTCTC